GCTTCACCCTGCATCACAGGAACAGCAGGACTCTCCAGGACCACAGATCCAGCTGAATGACAAGAATCTGAGATTTATTGAAATTTATTTAAACTAAGTTTGAAACAAAATGTTGTCCTGGTTCAAACTTACCAGTAACAGTAATGTTAATGCTGTCGCTTCTGTTTGCTCCTTTAGTCTCACACCAGCGCTCTCCACCGTCATCTGGATACACACTTTTTATTATGCACAATGATCCTGCTTTTCCCTGGTTGTTGTGACTGCATGAGTTTATTTTCCCTTTGGAATTATGCACAACTTCCCAATAAACAGCATCCTCACAGTAAAATATCACTGATTCATATTCAAAGAACTGCAATCTGTTTGGAACGATACGAAGAGAAACTGCATCTGAGAAAAAGAAAAAAAAAAGAAAGTTTCAGACTTGTAATAAAAGTACTGTTTGTTAAACAATGAAAAAACATCACTTGAGCAAAATTACATGTTCACTAAAAATACTTTTTTCCTACTATTCATACATTCATACGTTGTCTGCTCCGACAAACAAAAAAACCATGAACAGTGTTCAGATCAATGAGGAAACTTATGACACTCACCAACTTTTTGATCATGTGCACACAGCAGGATCATGAGAGTCATCACTGAAGAGACCAAAGAGCCACAGGTTACAAATATTCTGTTGAGTCCTACAGCTGCTGATAAATGTATTTTAACATCTTATAAGTTGTACAACAAATTTGTAAAGACAAATGAATTATTAAATCTATGGCATTTAATAATTACTATTATTTAATGGTGGCTCTAATGATTAATAAATAAGCTGAAGCTTATTTTTCATGTGGAAATAGACACTTACACAGTCTGATGCACGGAGCTGTGACATCCATGATGCTCTGCTGCTGACTGTGTGGACAACTGACAGTGAGCATGGGGGGTTCTACTGTGTGGTTTCTTTCTGCAGCTAAAGCGATGCTAAACAAAAATAGTTTTCAAAGAAGCTGCGTTGCATTCAAGTTACCCACAGATCAGGAGAAAAATACAGACTGCTTTCAGTGCAACTTGCAGTCATGTATAATTTCTCATGGTCACCTTCATACTTTGATGTACTAGCATGTTAACATACATTTAATAACATTAAACTCTTTATCAAAACTGAAAAAAGAAAAAATGTAATATTGACTTACTGATGGCTTCATTATTTACTGCAGATCATTTAAAAATATTATTATTAATGTTTACCGATAATTTAATTAAAGATCGGAGAGCTGCCCTTTTAATTTTTAATTATTTTTTAATTCTAAGCTGTTATCACGACTGCCTCACCTGCTATCACAATTTTTCAAATATAGATTGTTAATATTTTGTAGGGAAAAAAACAGCATTGTAACAAGTAGTATTATCCATCAGAAGGTTGTTCACCTGTTTCTTTGCTTGTAAAATTATTTGACCCAGTGAAACTCTTGACATTTTACCTGCATCTTAGCAGTTTTTCAGTCTGTTGATCCTTCTGTGGTCACCATAATCAAGATTTCATTGATGTGATGTGTAAGAAAGAGGAGGAATGCAGGCACATACTGAGACATGAGGGAGGTTTATTGTGAATAACAGAAAACAAGGCAGGGATGGCAAAAACAGAACTAAAGATAACCTGAACTGGGAAAAACTAAAACTAAACAGCAAACCTGGAGTAAATATTGTAACATTCACAAGAACCAGACGGTTGGGTCTCAGTTTGTCCATTTATTCGGCACATAAGCAAGCGGGTTGCTAACTCAGGGGAGAGCGCCCTCGTGCTACACCTCTCTTCAGCCTGGCACCCACACATAACACAGAACCCAGGTCCCCCCCTCCCCTTCCCCCACACCACCTGCAGCACAACCAAACATGAATCTTAAAGGAACAACAACAGTGTGCAGAGATAACCAACATGTCACTGTACAATAACACTTAACCATCGTTACAATATCATTAAAGATCTCTCTAAAATATATATATATATATATATATATATATCCCAGTTGGACAATTGTAACCCCTTGTCATGGTACTGAGTCTTTGACTCAGTGGTTTTTGGTTTTGGTTATTATTATCTTATGTTTCAGGTTAATTCTTGTTTACATGTTCTTTGCGGTAGGGTTTTGGTTATATTTTGAGCTCCTTTTGTTCTGTGTCTCTGTGTTTCCCCCGACTCTGTGTCTGTAAGTTCAGTCTGTGCATTTCCTGTTTTACTTTGAAGGTCCATGTCTCAGGTTAATGTATTCTCTTTTGTTTCCCTCGGTCTCTGTGTCTTTATTGTCTTTTGTATTTAAGGCCCTGTGTTCTCCGTGCTTAGTGTCATGTCGTCACTGTCTCATCCCTGGAGCTGTGTGATTTTCCCCGTGTTTCCTCGTGTCTCAGTTTATCATTCCCTAGTTTAGTGTGATATTCTGTTTCGCCGTTAGGCCTGCAATAAAGCAGTGATTTTTGAGTTTAGTTATCTTTCCGTGAGTCTGCACTTGGTTCTTTTCTTGCCTCCACATAGCAATTCCATGACACTCTTTATATGTTGGAGTTAGTCAGACCTGCCTTGCAAGACTGCAGTTGGTCCAGAATGCTCGTCTTCTGACACAAACTAAAAGTTGTGAACAAATTTGTTCACATGTAGGGGACATGGCAAACAGGTGGAAGAAGATGATCTGGTCAGACGAGACCAAAGTTTAACTTTTGGGAGGTAAATATTATATTGGAAAATCTGTTAGTGTATATAAGACTTTTTTTCTGTTTTTTATAAAAAGCTGATATGTCAGCAGAGCCATAGAACTGAAAAAATGTAAGATAAGAACTTCAGATCCTGAAGTGTGTGAGGACAGAGAAGGATCAGCTTTATTTCAGATTTGAAAGATAAACTTTATATTTCAGTTTGTGATGGTTCTCTTCGTGATTACAGCAGCTGCCCTCAGATTCAGACCTCAGCACTACTACTACTACCCAGCACTGGGCACTGGTTTATTGCACTTTTTTTGCAATTTGTGTAATTACTATGCACTTAATGCATACATATTATTAAAATTTGGGCTATAATGGTTGTATTGATGTATAGCAACTTGAAATGCTCCCAAAAATGGCTCTACAGCATGTTAAAATATAATATAAGCTCTGGCAGACTTGGTTCTATGGTAGGTCTTAAAGGGTTAAACACTGAATGTACTCAGCTGCATGAAGAGAACATGAGATTTTCTTTGATACAATTAAATAAAATCTGATGAAGGTCAAAGTTTGTCACTTGTTGAATAAACAATCTGGAATTCTTTCACAAGGTTGTTTTTTTTGTTGTTTTTTTTTTGTTTTGTTTTTTTGCCAAATAGTGTGTTATTTACCATAAAGTAATTCAGAGTCATTTATGCAAGTAAATGTAACCAGAGAGTATATGTTTTTTAAATATATAACTTTCTATAGGACCGAATATAATATCTTTATGTACAAGTCCAGAGCCTCTGAGGATTATCTGAGTACAGTACAAAGGTTAAGCTTAAGTTTACTATCAGATTTTTTCATGTGTTTGATGTAACTTTAAAAACAGAAGACTTAATTATTTGCTTGATGGTTAGGTATTCTCCTACAAATGGCCTGTATTTTTGTATAGCGCTTTACTAGTCCCTAAGGACCCCAAAGCACTTTACACATCCAGTCATCCACCCATTCACACACACATTCACACACTGGTGATGGCAAGCTACAAACTACAAACTAAACTCATCTTTGTAAACTAGTCAAACAAATTTCAACAGTTGCAAGGAAACCACACTCCGAAAACAATCACAATGAACCAGGGAAGAAAGAAGGATGTGGGAAAACAAATAAGTGAAGCACATCAGAGAAAAGTTACAATCACAGAACTAAATGAATGATTCTACAAAGATGGAGGGAAAGACTTTGTACACTGAGGAATTGAACGAAGGTGCAATCACCAATCAGAAAGGCAAGACTGATAAAAGTCATGCTAAACATGATACAGACTAAACAAAAATACTCAGTCTAAGCCAGGATCAAAACTCCGTATTGCCAGAACTACTGGAACTGTTAATAAAACCACTGAAAGAGAGTATACAATATGTAAAAAAACCCAAAAAAAACAATATATATATATAAATGAATATGACTTAAAAATAGACAGAAAGTGTTGCAAAAGTGTTTAAAGTTAGCTTCCATTAAACATTAAAACCGTGATTTAACCTCCTACCCGAATTCTTCCATGGAAATCATTTTTAATTTCTCTTTGATATTTGGGAATATTGGGACCTCATAAATGTAAAAACAAAGAATTGCCCGATTTTTTTTTTTTACCTGATTTTTGTTTCTAACAAAAATGAGATCCACATATGAGGACATTCGTTTTTAATTTTTGATAGAACAGTGGCAGTAGAATGTCCACATAAGTGGATATCAGAAAAAATTGTGTTTTTAGGTCTAGACAACCCAAAATGTGATGTCCACATATGTTGACGCCAGGTCCTAGGAGGCAGGGCCGTTGCTAGCCATTTGGGTGCCCTAAGCACAAATGCTTTATGGTGCCCCCCCCCCCCCCCTCGCCACTGAAAAAAAAAAAAAAACATTAATACTTTTGAATTTCTCAGTGGAATTTGTTTAATTAAATAACAACAAACATGACAGTTAAACAAATAAATAAGGTTAAAGGAGGTTAAAAATACTGTTACAAATAAATACTGAAACAAAAATTGAACATTGGAACAAGAACAAAGAGCCTGGCAATAATGTGTAATTTTTTTTATAAAAAAATAATATATATGATATAATATGAATATTTTTTTGAATATTCTTTATTGTCATTGTCACAGGTACAATGAAATTGAAAGTAGTATTATTATTAATATATTTACAAATAGTTTCACAATAGAATTTAAATAAGAAACTTAAATAAGAAAAATAAGAATTTGAACACAAAAGTAACTATGTTAAACATTTTTACAATTCGTTGTCAGAGTATGCCCTAGACTCTAGGGCATACTCTGACAACCAGAAAATGCAGGCGTGGTGTGCCTCTCTAGGGCCTAGAGAGGCACACGCCTGCATTTTCTGGTTGCAAAATCAGCTATAAGGTCATCATATGATAGCTTCTGAGCCACGTCACCATTGATGCTGATAACAGCCAGACCACTTAAACGTTCCTGCCCCATTGATGAACGCAGGTACGTTTTAATGAGTTTGAGCTTTGAAAAGCTTCGCTCAGCAGAGGCAACTGTGACAGGCAGGGTCAGTGCAATACGCAGAGCAATCCACAGATTGGGATATACCTCTTGAAGCTGATTGTCATGTAAAAATGACAGCATTTCCAAAGCAGACGTCTGTGGTGGCAGCTGAGGAAGGTTGATGATTTCCTGCATCATCTCAGGTCCATCAATGTCAGCTACTCCCTTATCTGTCAGTGTCTTCTGTACTTCAGTGCAGTGTTTTTTTAAATCCTCCTTGGACATCCCATTCACTTTGCTGAAATCAAGCAGCACTCCATATTTCTCCTTCACTTGATTCATGGTCTCAAACCTCTCCTGTAGGGAGATTAAAGCAGAGTCCACAACACAATTGAAAAATGTGACCTCAAGCTTTTTAAGGGCATCATGGAGGGGCTCATCAACAGCTTCATATGCAAACTGCCTTTTTGTGCTCCTGAGCCTTTTCTCCTTCAACTGTGGTTCTATGTTCAGGGCCTCACAGAGTTCTTTGGCAGCTGACACAGCCTCATCAAACCCAGACTGTCTGTATTTAGAGAGGTTACTTTTGGCAGTGTCAATGAGCCTGACAGCAACATCGAGCTGCATGGAGCTGGACTGTAGTAACTTGTTCACCTGGTTTGTGATTGTAAGAAGTTCACACCACACGATGGAGCAAATCAAAAATCGAAATGAGGCTACTTCCTCAGCAAGCACTTGAGCCTCCACCTTTGCGACTGCATCACTTACAGCTTCTCTGGCCTCCAGGAGAGCATCCCTCACTTCTTTTGTCTGACTCCGGACAGCAGTTACACTTTGAAGCCTGCTTTCCCATCTAACGTCACTCCAAGATTTAAGTGTCAATTTCACATGTTTTGTTAAAATGGCCCATCGCTGGGTGGCACTGGAAAAGAAATTGAACAACTTCTGCAAATACCCAAAGTAGCCAGTTGCATCTGGAGAGGACTTGGCAGCATCAGCTATGACCAGATTCATCGTGTGAGCTCCACAAGGCACAAACAATGCTCTCGGGTTTAATTGTAGCAGTCTGGCCTGAACACCTTGCTTCTTCCCCTTCATGTTGGCCCCATTGTCATAGGCCTGTCCTCGACAGTTTTCAAATGGAATGCCAAGCTCCTTCAACTTGTCAAGGACAACATTGGACAGGTTAAGGCCAGTTGTTTGCTCCACATTTATATAGCCAAGAAAGTATTCTTTAATATCTGGTTGTGCTTGGAAACAAACAATGCGTACTATGACTGACATTTGTTCAGTGTGACTCACATCTGGAGTACAGTCAAGAATGATGGAGAAGTATTTTGCCAACTGGATTTGCTTCACAATGGCGCGGAATGTTTCTGAAGAGATAATCTGAATTAGTTCGTTCTGTGTCTCAGGGCTGAGGTAATGTGTGTGGGAACCTTCATCTTTTATGTTGGCCAAGTGATTTGCCATTACAAGGTCATATGTTGCCATAAGCTCTACTTCCTTCAAGAAGTTGCCATTGTCCGGCTCATAAAGACAGTCAGAAGAGCCCCTAAAAGACAAATTTCTGGAAGCCAGTGAGAGAGTTATTGAGAGTAATCGTTTGAGAATCTCTCGCCACTTTTTCCTTTCTGCCTCTAGTAAGGTCAACTCCTGTTGATCTATTGCCATGCTTTTCTTTAGCCGTGTGTCCAGTTCTCTCCACTTAAGCATGCACTGTATGTGGTCTTGGCTACACTCATGACCCTCAAACGGATGTTGATGTTCGACCAGTCACTGAAGCCCTCTGTACTCAGCTTTATATCCTTCACACTGAAAAGCTTACATGCAAAGCAGAACACAGCATTGTTCTGCGGTGAGTACACTAACCAGCTCCGGTGAACCTTTTCTCCATTGGGAAGAATTTTGAACTTAAGGCTAGTGTGAAATGCTCTTCCATCAGGCCCCTTTGGAAAATTAAAATCAGAGCTGACATTAAAAGGACCTCTCCGCACAATTTCAACACGATCAGCATCTACAATGTGAGCTGGCCAAAGAGCAGGATCGGTTGAAGGGGGCACACATGTCTCCACAGTGTCACTTTCTGATAGTCTCTCAGTGACAGGACTCTCAGTGGTACTTGTGTATGGAACTGTACCTGAACTGGTGGTTGATGGTTCTTGTTCTTCTTGGCTAGGGATTGTTGCAGGGTCTACAATGGCTGGTGGTTGATGTCCAGGGATGGCACTACTACTGGATGGTTCATCCTGTCCTTGAGATCCTCCTTGAACATATTTAAGCATTGACCCTGCATACAAGAGAAAATATTCAGGGATTTTACAGAAATACAATTTTGAATCTACAGTAGGCCTACGAAAGATTGCATTATAAGACTAATAAATTAAGTAAGTCACTGGTACATTTAAAAATTACTAACTATATTTTACATGTATAGATTTTCATAATGGCAAATGGCAATATAAACATGCTGTACATAATTTGATATAAATGCGCAAGTAGGAAATCTATATTACTGGAAGATATAGGTTTCATATTACAGTTTCACCAACAGATGTCGCCCTTGATCTATGAACCTAAAGAAAGACGAGAACTATTTATGTGTTCAGACGTCAATGGCATAAATAAGATATGCGTCTTTATAGATATCCTGAAATGCAGCAACATACAAAGTAATCTTGTCTAATCTGATAATAATACTTGACTGCATCACTGACCTATCCCAAAGTTAAGGTTAATCAGTAGCATGCATGACGTTAGCCAGCTAGCAACCTGAGGAGGGAAATGCTAGTCTCACGAATCACGATAACGTTAGCAATCGTGAGTCACGATTGCTAACGTTATCTGAAAACCGTCAATTGAGTGACCATGATGAGTTGCTTTTAGTAGTCCATTCTATATTCATATCCACAACGTAAACAAACTACCCAACATCAATCATTTGCAACATTTGTTAACACAGTATGAACACTGCTAACAGGAGCTATCACAGAGTTGACGGACATGAGCGTGCAAGCAAGGGCTACAATAATGAACTTTTTTATTATTATTATTTAAACATTGCCTTACCGGCAAGCGACGCCTGAGTTTCATCACGCTTCCTCTTCTTCTTTCTTTTCTCCGCTCCCGACTCCTGTTGCCGTTTCGAGGCCATGTTCAAACAGGTGTTTACCAATTATAGAACAGACCACTGGGAGTGGGGGGCACCAGGAGGAGACTGGAGACAGGGCACAAAGCAGATTCACCCCTTTTCTCGGGAAAATTGTTTTATGTTGCTTTTGTATTGTTTAACCATATTAATGCATATGATATTTATAGTATTAATATGGTTTACTTCTTTTTTTTACGACCCTGATTTTTTGGTGCCCTACCGGCCATTTGGTGCCCTACGCAGTGTGCGTTATGTGCGTTTGCGGAGCTACGGCACTGCTAGGAGGTTAATTTCACATCTGTAAAATTCTGCCCCCTACAGTATTTTTTTTTTCTTGTCACAAATGACATTTTTCTTTATTATTTCAAGTGTATAAAATGTACAGTCGTGGCCAAAAGTTTTGAGAATCACATAAATATTGGAAATTGGAAAAGCTGCTGCTTACGTTTTTACAATAGCAATTTGCATATACTCCAGAATCTTATGAAGAGTGATCAGATGAATTGCATAGTCCTTCTTTGACATGAAAATTAACTTAATCCCAAAAAATCCTTTGCACTGCATTTCATTGCTGTCATTAAAGGACCTGCTGAGACCATTTCAGTAATCTTCTTTTTAACTCAGGTGAGAATGTTGATGAGCACAAGGCATCATTATGTCAGGCTGATTGGGTTAGAATGGCAGACTTGACATGTTAAAAGGAGGCTGATGCTTGAAATCATTGTTCTTCCGTTGTTAACCATGGTGACCTGCAAAGAACCGCGTGCAGCCATCATTGCGTTGCATAAAAATGGCTTAACAGGCAAGGATATTGTGGCTATTAAGATTGCACCTAAATCAACAATTTATAGGCTCATCAAAAAGTTAGAGGAAAGAGGTTAAACTCTTGTTAAGAAGGCTTCAAGGCATCCAAGAAAGTTCAGCAAGTGCCAGGATGGTCTCCTAAAGATGATTCAGCTGTGGTATCAAAGTGCCAACAGTGCAGAGCTTGCTCAGGAATGGCAACAGGCAGGTGTGAGCGCATCTGCACACACAGTGAGGCGAAGACTTTTGGAAGACGGCCTGGTGTCAAAAAGGGCAGCAAATAAGCCACTTCTCTCCAAAAAAAACATCAGGGACAGATTGGATCTTCAGCAGAAAGTATGGTGAATGGACTGCTGAGGACTGGGGCAAAGTCATATTCTCCGATGAAGCCTCTTTCTCTTTTTTGTGTTGTACTTGTATAACTATGCATGTGACAAAGAACCTTGACCTTGACCTTCCGATTGTTTGGGGCATCTGGAAAAAGGCTTGTCCGGAGAAGAAAGGCGAGCGCTACCATCAGTCCTGTGCCATGCCAACAGTAAAGCATCCTGAGACCATTCATGTGTGGGGTTGCTTCTCATCCAAGGGAATGGGCTCACTCACAATTTTGCACAAAAACACAGCCATGAATAAAGAATGGTACCAAAACACCCTCCAACAGCAACTTCTTCCAACAATGCAACAACAGTTTGGTGAAGAACAATGCATTTTCCAGCACGATGGAGCACCGTGCCATGAGGCAAAGGTGATAACTAAATGGGGAACAAAACGTTGAAATTTTGGGTCCATGGGCTGGAAACTCCCCAAATCTTAATCCCATTGAGAATTTGTGGTCAATCCTCAAGAGGCAGGTGGACAAACAAAGACCAGATAATTCTGACAAACTCCAAAAAGTGATCATGACAGAATGGGTTGCTATCAGTCAGGATTTGGCCCAGAAGTTGATTGAGAGCATGCTCAGTCAAATTGCAGAGGTCCTGAAAAAGAAGGGCCGACACTGTAAATACTGACTCTTTGCATAAATGTCATGTAATTGTCGATAAAAGCCTTTGAAACGTATGACGTGCTTGTCATTATATTTCTGTACATCACTCTGTACACACACAACACAGTCCACAGGACGCATTCAGAAGCTACCCTGCAGCTTCACTTTAATCTGCACTGGTCATTCCACTTTATTGTTATTGATATTTATATTTAAAAATGCAAAACTGTAATTTTCTGCTGCTCATTCCTGTGCAATATCCCATCTGCCCCCGTCATATTTCTTTTCAAGATTTTCTTATTTAATCACTAGTGTACATATATTTATATTTATAGATACATATATATTTAGTCATCTTTTCTCTTTTACCACATCTCTCTAATATTTTGCTCTTTACTATTTTCTATTTTTTTATTTTTTTATTATTTTATTTGATTATATTTTCTTCTACTGTACCATGCTGCTGAGTGACTGCTGCTCATCAAACACATTTCATTGCAATGTTGACCCTGTGCTAACTTGCATATGACAAATAAAACTGAAAACAGAAACATCTGAAACAAAGATCTAAAAGCAGTTAGCAGCAAACTTTGTGAAAACTAATATTTGTGTCATTCTTAAAACTTTTGGCCACGACTGTAGACACAAAACAACACACAATAGGAGAAATATGCATTTCAACAAAGACAAAGTCACCACAGAATCTACGGATGGAGAAATAACAATGTTGTGGTTTGGTTGCAGTCATACATGCACATGTATGAGAAGAGCAATTTAGAAGTGATTTGTGTAGTTGGACTGACAGATGGTTTTAAGTTGGGAGTTCCATTACGTCAAGTTGAGTTTCCATTGACCTTTACAGACCACACTGTGTTCGGCAGTGGGCACAGAGCAGATGTTTATCAGTTATGTGCAAAGTGAAAAGAAGGATTAAAAAAGGTACAGTGAAACCCCGATGTACCCCATTTAACTTTTTTTTTAATTTTTAAAAATTCAAGTTATGAAGGCACTTAATGGCAATATTTCTGCCCGTGTTACGGCAAAGTGCCCGCGTAACAAAATCCGCTGACTCTAATTGGCTGAGCCCAGAATGCCCAGAATGCCTTCTGAATCATGTGACAACCCCTGGGCTTTCGTACTTGCGCTTCGCTGTTCCACTTGAACAACGTATTATTGTTGCAGTTAGCAATGAGTCTATAGCCTATCATTCACTCAAAAGGCAAGATGGGTTATGAAAATTTTCGACTTACGAAAGACCGTCAGGAACAAATTAATTTCAGAAGTCGGGGTTCCACTGTATTTGTAGAAACAGCAGATCATTTCATCAACAGTTCATTTCTTTTTTAAAAAAATGCAATGTTTATTTTCTTTTAGAACAAAGGTAAACTGTCTTATACAGCACACCACAAACATACAACATATTGGGTTTCCCAAGAACATTGCCCCAAACCCTAAGTGCATTAAGGTTCCAACAGTAGCAGTCGAGCAGAATGTGCAGTAAGGATGAGACGTCATTTTCATCTGGAATCTCTTCTGAGGAGTTAAGTAGGTTCGACGACATATCTTATAAAGAATAAATTGGTGGCCAGGATTCTTTGATAACAGTTAATTTCTTAAGACTGTCACTATTAGCAGCAAAATGAATGAATCAGTGAATTGTTCATTAACTACATGAAGTATGAAGTATGTATGAAGTAGTGTGATAACTGGTTTCATTGATCTATTTCTCATCATTGCATGAACAGTTTTCTGTTTCATGACAGTTACATTTACACATAGCTGAACACAAGTTAGAAAGTCTGAGCTAGACCAACTTTCAGCAAAGAACAGCAGCAGAGCCACAGTCACAACTACACAGTCATACATACATACAGTCAGACATATCAGCCAATCATTGGCATTGAAATTAAACAATTGTATACGAAAATAATTGTTTTTCTATTTATTATTTCAGTTATTGAATATGAAAACATGAAAATCACAGGTCACGTATTTATTCACAAATACAGTATAGAGTCACAGATCATGATGCATCTGTTTCTATAAATACAGCAAACAACACCAAGAAATAATCAGTGAACTGTTAAGCAAACAGATAGATGATGCAAGAAGCATGATGGTAATGTAATTATGTCAGTCAGGCTCTGAGGTGTGGCCTCTCTGAGTCTCTGTGTGACTGGCTGCAGAAATTACAGAAACTAATGCCATAGTAAGACTGGCTGGATGTAAAAATGTTTTTGTTTCCCCCCCCCCAAGAGAAGCAGAATCAGTCAGAGAACTCTGTCAGTAAACAAAACACACCAATTAAGATTTCTAGTTGGAAGTGATAAAATTGATTGGGCAGAACAATCTCTTGTATCTTTACTTTAGAGGACAATTTAAAGAGGAAAATGAAATCACATATAATTGAAATTTTGCCACATGCCCACAGGCGCGGGAGTTTTAGAGTTTAATAAGGCTGCAGCACGTTGCAATACCAAGAGTAACCACTAGATTGCAGCAAGGCAAGGCAAATTTATTTGTATAGCACAATTCAACAACAAGGTGATTCAAAGTGCTTTACAGAGACATTAGAAACAAAAACAAATAAAAAGCATGATTTAAAATTGATTAAAACAAGCAAACAAACAAACTAACTAAACACACACATTTCACACCTGTTCGCGCGATCTGAACCCTTATTGTAAGGGGAGCTACCAGTCCTTCTGTGGACGAGCTACTTTCTATTTTAAATTCCCTGAATTTAAAACACTCTCTAGACCCAGTCTAGACCCAGCTGGGGAGCTACCCAGAGCTCTAAACCCACTTAACAAACAAACAAACAAACAAAACAGTATATAAAATCAAAACAGATAAAATCAGAACAAAACAGTATATAAGATCAAAACAGATAAAATCAGAACAAAACAGTATATAAGATCAAAACAGATAAAATCAGAAATAGATAAGATCAGTAGTTAGTGTAAGTTTTGAAATTTAAGCTTAAAAGTGTGGATTTGGTGCTTTATTCAAATGCAGCTGAGAATAGGTGAGTCTTCATCCTGGATTTAAATAAACTGAGTGTTTCAGCTGATCTGAGGCTTTCTGGGAGTTTGTTCCAGATATAAGGAGCATAAAAGCTGAATGCAGCTTCTCCGTGTCTGGTTCTGACTCTGGGAACTGATAAAAGACCGGATCCAGATGACCTGAGGGATCTGGAAGGTTCATACTGGGT